GTATTTACGTAGACAGTCGCATATAAAGGACTCCATATTTTTGAGGGTATTGAGAGAAGTGCTACCGGCCTGTGGCTCGAAGATTCGCTGAGCAACCACCTTCGAAATTTAGTATGGTAAAAGCCAGCTTCCAATTTTCTGGTAACGTGCCCCGGCTTAGCGAATTTGAGGATATCATGCTAAGCGGTTTTGGCAAGATTGAGGCTGGTTCTATAAATATAGCAAAATGGACCATATCTGGACCAGGATAAGTGTCCTTTTTAGGTGCTACAGATTCCGGAAAACGAAGTCAGTGCCCAAGTTCCCTTCTGAGATTACTGTTAATCTGAAGGTAGAGCTCTCATCAATATAGTTAGTATGGATCGGTTGAAATGTCCCAGATTATTGTTCAGTAAATCTGTTAGTGGCGTCACTGTCATTATCGCTCTGACCATTAGGACAAAGCAGTTGGGAAAATCCAGTTTCAGCTTATCGAACAGAGGCTGCAAGACGGAATAAGCTAGTCGGATTGAAGACAAATTTATCCATAATCTTTATCTGGTACTGAAGCCTGTCTTCTCTTATTACCTTTGTGCATATATTTCTTATATGTTTGTATTGCCTGTACGCGCTGTTGTTATTAGTTCCTTTGTATTCTGCACAACCGTGTCTTTTGCGGCTTAGCAAACGAAGAGTTCGGTTCTTGATGACTGTAGGTTGCTTGTAACTTTTGGGGACCGTTTGGTCAACAGACTCCTTTGTAGCACAAAAGAGCGTGTGCAGTGAGAAATTTCAATGCCCATTCACCTCAAGTTGTGTGTGAACTTCCCAATCCACCTGCTGTAGAATGTCATGTAAAGCTGACATATCCAAACTTTTCAAATGTCTGCGCCTGTTTTTGGTAGAATGGACTAACTCACATTCGCCGATAAGGTTGGAGGCTATGACGGCGTGATCACTTTTACCCAATGGAGCCAAGCATGAGATTATCAACTAGGAGTTCTTTATTTATGGGTGGGCAGTCTGAGAGCGACAGTGTCTGACTGTTATTTCACAGATCTGTAGACTCGAAATTTTCGAATAATCGAGAATTTTCATGGAGGTTGAAGAGCTGAAGTTCAGTGAAGTTGTTGCTTCCAATATAGGTATTTTCAGCAAAGATGACTTTAAGAAAATTAGTGTCTCCTAGAATCATGATATGAGTGAACCCCAAGCAAATAAAGCGAGATATTCCTACCGGCATACGTTTGTCAAACTCCGTGTCAGCAGTGGGCTTCCTTTAAATGACTTCTACTAGACACCTAAAATTGTTAGACAGTTATAACAAGGCGCATACAGATTAACAAACTATTGGGCGTGTACTTGATGTACTGCCAAACAGGGCTGCAGTAACATTTTCAGCCATCGTAATAAGGTGAAGTGTTTTGCGTGCGGAAATCTCAAAAGAATGCACTTCACTCAATCTAGAGAGAAATCAATTTTAAAGCCTTAATACTCCTGCGTGTAAGAACATATGTCTGAAATTTGACAGTATAGCAAAATGTCTATCAAATAATTTTAATAAATATAATAAATATCTCCTTATTCTATGTGACTCTGTATACGTAATCATATCTGTACTCATTGCTCAGTTATGCCAGTTTCAAGTGAACTTCACACTCAGTTCAGTAATGTATCTGTAGCAGTAAATAAATCCAAAAGTAACTAGTTCTGTAAGTCTTCAATATTGACATTAACCTTATTAGTTTTGCTGGACACATACCAGCTGAGAGCACTCGGTCACGCATCCGCGCCAGACCACGAACGAGTACGTCGTGCTAAGCATCCATTTCAACTGTTGGCCAGAATTAATCGTATGCTTCTCGACATATCGATAGCTTTCCAAATATGCCTTCAGGCCTCTTCATTTCTGATGGCTGATTTGAATGGGTTGGTCTATTTTGACCATAAAGATCTTACGTATAAAAGCGTTGTCAAACCCCGGATACCTTTGACTCTTTTGCAGCAATCACACTTTGTTGAAGGTATTCATGACAACAACAGATGGACTTAAAGAAATTGCTTAGTTTAAACCTGATATTTACACCTGAAGCAATTTAGAACTATTATATTAATTTGTGGAACCTAAACCATTGTAAGTGAAGAAAAACTGTAATGATACACTTTAAAAATGTATATACTTATGTAATGAATGACAAAACTAATAGCAAACGATACACGATGAATGTTATTTGAAATTTCTCTGTGGTATTCATTACAACTGGAGTCGACCTAATCAACAAATACTTAGCTGCATTGCATGAGCAGACGGCGTATGGAAACGACTAGCTCCATTAATGTTTCTGGTGATATGACACAATAATTTCACTCAGTGGAGATTGTTCACAGAATGGATAATGTTGGAATCACCGGGTTTTGTTTCAGTTCTCAAATTAGATTTATATAATCTTTAAAAATTTTGAAAGTTCCCAAATCATTATTGTACGTATATATGTATGAATATAGATATTAATTTATATTTGGGTGAAGTATGATCGGGATTTATTCTAAAACAATATTGTTTGCTTATATATGTTTTTCTAACTTGCAAGCTTATCGCAAGGTATTGGACAACAGATCAACCCTCAATTTTCAGTTAGTACGCTACTTTATATATTTATTCGTATGAGTTCGGGTAAATACAGCATCTTTTGTGCATGATTTTTAATAGGACCTAAAACCCTGAAAAGAAAGCCTGATGAATCTGTTAGTGATCAGGTCCCAGTTAAAGTAATTGAAAAATCAAATGAGGGTTCTCGACGTCCTGCGATTATAAGTCCTATCAAATTAAATGTACCCACACAGGTTGGATATTGTTAATAATGTCGTGTAGATTACCTATAAAGGATTTTACACCTGAAATCCCTAAAAAGGTAGACAGGAAGGTCCGTGAAGTCTTCAACTCAGATGAGGAAGTGAGTTGTCTTAGATCTTAAAGTATACTCGTCTACAGAGTGAGGAAGAGGAAATTCCAACGGAAGCCAGGATAAGAATGCGAAATTTAGGAAGGTATTTATGGACGTTTTTATTCATAGGCGTTTCTATATATTTACGTATCCAGTAAACCATATGAGACTTCCACATTTTACATAGATATTCATGTCACTATCCAAACAACGTTATCATATAGTTAGTGACTATGCCAACCTAAAGCTATCTGAGATTTTAAGAACGTGTTGCCGCCTGCTTCTTTCTGGTTTCACTAACGCTTACCTCAAACTACTTCATTATCTTTCTTAATCTTCTTAAGAGTTACTCATGATGTCATGCTCCCATTAAATGTTTTATTATCAAGTATCCAGTCTGTGTCCATACTGTAATAAGTCCATATTTATACTGAGCTTTCCCTTGACACCACCTGCTTCGGTTTGGGTACCCGGGCAGTATCACAGCCCACACACAAATTAAATGAGATTTGTGTGGCGCATATATATTTGGTGCCTCCTTGTACCAGTATCTATGTGTTAAAATAAAATAATAAAATAAATCCCTTGACACAGTTGATGGTTGAATGGTCTCAATACAGCGAGGGTCTCCTTGATACTACGTTGGCAACTTTTTCAAATACATATTCAGGCCAAAATCCAGTAATGAGTGGCATAAGTTAATAATTTAACGCAAGCAATTAATTACTAAATGTGGTCTCTGATTTGCTTCTCAATGGACATTATTGGCTTGTTTTCGAAGGTTATCCCTTGCAATATGATAGGAAGGTTGATCTAATCGCAATTCACTTCATAATTACATTCCTTCTCAGATTCTATGCTCTGGAATTTATTCGTTTTAAACCTAAAATAATTTTGAGTAGTTTCTTAATATTAAGCAATGCTAAACAAAATGTAACACTGTTAGTCAGAAACTAGCTGTTCATATTTATCGTTGGCTCCTGTCTAGGAATAAGGTGCTGCGTCAATACAAATTTCTAATTTGAATGTTCGGTTGTCCCAGTTTATAAGAATAAGTTATGAACCTGTGTTAAATGTTTGCTTCCACCCGAATTTTCGCCTGTAAATTCATTATGGTAATTTCATAAAACTAGGTAGGGACTCTTGGAGAAAAAACCGGAAACCAAACCAATACTAAGGCAGGTAAATAAGTTAATTGGTTACTCTTTTTTCTTAGCCGGTATAATATACTTCAAATTGTTGGACAGTATAGTTTATTACCAAAACAAAAACTATAGCTACCATGTGATATTTTATCTAAATTGTTATTTTACTACCAAAACTAAACAGTGGAATTCTGATCTGCATGAACCTAAGCAATATCCATTGTTCATGCGTTAAAGTAACTTTGAACAATGTTTCTTACTTCAGTGGTCAAAAACTGTGTAGCAGATCAGTTTAAAGCGTACAGTAGATTGTATCTAATCAAAGGTAATGTGAAATGACAAGTCTTTTGAAGGCTAAATAATGTAGTTCATCTTGAATCTATCTCAACTGGAAATGTTGAGTTTACATTTTATACGTCTTTAGGATCAACTTGCAATCACTTCGTTTATTTAACACAATTTCACTTAAACTAACCAAAGCGAAAAAAGACTTTACATACATTGTAGGTCTAAGGGTCTATAGAACACCCATGACTGTATTAATGACACTACTGATTGATAGTAATCAATATGTAGGATTACACTTTTAATGATAAACATACATATGATAATAATACAAACTGTATTAGATTTCAAATGTTATAGTAAATTGATCTTTATTATTATTATTTTCTAAAGGTACACTCCCACATCTTGCGGACCAAATTCTTTTGGAAAAGGAAGATTTGGTTTTGTTGATCGTAGAGCATTACTTAATAAACAAACAGAAGCATTAAATGAAGCAGTTTCCGGAGAGAATGAACGTTAGGAATCATATTACTTAAACAATTAAATATACGATATATCAAGCGAAAAATCACTACTACTAACAAAATCGTTCCCAAGTATTTATCCACCCTTGATTGTGTGTGTGTATAAAAGGAAATGTTAATGTAATTATGTTTAATTTTCTTTATTCTTCTTAACAACAAAAACAAAACAAAACTCAATGAATATTTATATCAGATTTATTTTATTATTTGTTTTTATTTTTATATCATATCGATAATGACTGAGTAAAGCTAAAAACAGAGCAGCAGATACACGTGCATTAAGATCAGCATTTTCAACATCATGATAAGAAGGAACATCTCCCCATCGATTAACCTATAATAAACAAAAAATACAAATCATTAGTATTTATTTGAAGATGAATAAAAGTAACTTGAGATGAATGTAAGGTTAAAAAAATGATACATTCTCTATGGATCTGCAAAACATTTTTTACTGTGATTTGTGTTCTATGGTAATTGCTTAGTCTATACAGTTTAATAACCGTATTCTTAAATATATTTTTATTCGGACAAGAACCGGTGCTTTCAACGTGGTATGGTCGCCGGCAAATGCCTTGGTACGTCTGAGAGTGAGGAGAGTCCACTCACCCTCTCGAAATGCTCTGACATGGCCGCGCGTATATAGCCTCTGCCAGTGAAGTCCTACTCATTGCCTTATCGTGGCAAGGATGTTCACGAAATTGACAGAACGAAAAGCGAATGTCCGACAGGGGCTTCAACTGGGTTGATGGACATGGAGTCCACCTAGGGGACTTGAATAGCCTGATTCCAAACCAATGGTGCACATGGGCTTCAGTATTCTAAGGGAATAAATGGCGTATGAACCAATCGTTGGCCACCGGCTACCATGGGACTGGATCTCCTGACGTTGCCCCACTACCTTGTGGATTAGACCTATAGATCAAAGGCTCAAGGTGTGGCCCCCTAAGAAAACCACCTGCTTCGGTTTGGGCACCCGGGCAGTATCACAGCTCTCGCACAAATCAATTGAGATTCGTGTGGCGCATATGTATTTGGTGCCTCCTTGTACCAATATCTGTGTGTTCAAATAAATAAAATTAATTTTATTCCCTTTGGGGTCTGGACTAACAAAGCTTGAATTACGAAACGGGAGTTTTCACTCTAATTAGAGCAGAAGTGAAGATGATAGTTATTTCGTTCACTACAGTGAAGTTGGATTGTTGGAATAGTAGCTTAGCATACAGACATATCAGTGCAGTAATCCACAATTAACACAGAGCCTTACACAAATGCTCTAGCCCAAATCCTCATATCACATTAGTACTATGAGATTCAATTAACAATATAAAGATAACAAAGTAGTCGAAATAATTGCAGTGCCAATGGCAGTGAGGAAGACTACATGCTGAGAATATGGAGTGAAAAAATACGTATGAGGGAACGCTTGGGATGAAGATCTAGGGGAGTATGAAAAGTGAATTTATCTGTGCCATGTAATAAATTTTCAGCCATATCACACATTATTCTCAACCAAATGTTAAGATAATTTAGCGAACTGTGATAAGGTAGTTTGTACGTATACCAGCAAACCACCACGTTGAGGTAGGCAGTGGTTCAGCACTGTAGTAGTATACATGTCCCAACAATCTAAGTGAATAAAGATACTGGGATCTCATAAATATATTTGACATCCTGTATTTACAACACAATAAATTAGCAGGTAGTGATGAATAATTGGATTTAGCGTAGAATGTAGATGCTAGGCGTTGCTAGCCAGATTACTATGTGGAAAGGCAAAATATTACTTAAGAACTGGTATGAGTCATCTCCTGAACTAATAATATGAAATGAAGTTGTTGAATGTTTCACTTCACCTGGAAATCTCATCAGCCCTAGTGGGTTGATATCTGACGAAATCTTGGCACGGATTTAGAAAGCGCAGTTACACATACAAACTTGTGGCATAAACGAGATGTTTGTCTAACAATCAAACGATATATATATACTGCGCATAATTTTGACTTGTTGTACTTAATGTCTGTGAAGAAAACATATATGGACTACCTGGTTTTTAATCGTAGATGTTCTCAAAGGGTTTTCCGCACTTCGTGGAACTTCCTAGTAAGGAATATTGGTGCTAGGCATAGGTAGCAAACTTGCCGATAAAATTAACCGAGATAGTTGGGATGTGTTACATATGAAGAAGCATTGCCTATCTCGACGTCCAATGTCATTTCATGTAGGAGCAGACTTTAAGAAAGCAAGTGACGTCCAAACCAGGACTTGGCATCATTCCATTGACTATATGTCAGAGCCATGTAAGTAGATGCAGACTACCTGGATAGGATTAACGTGATAACAACGATCAGAAGCGTTGGAAACTTGGGTTGACATGACTCAGAATTGTCCACAATAGTGGGGATATTTTAACTTCTCGATCTTAAATTTCTTTATTTCCACTGTCTTTTCAAACCATGTTCTCAATTTCGAATCTCTTTCAACATTCCAATCTCTTTTGTTACAGATTTTGTTAATTTCATCTCGTCATCCTAATGTGGTACGACAACGAAGAGTTAACTCATATATATATATATATATATATATATATATATATATATATATATATATATAGTTAGATATTTGAATACTGATACTTTACAGTGATGTAATGTAAAACTAACCTGAAATAACATTTCTATTTGACTTAATTCAACAGCTTTTACGACTGAACAAAATCCATCCAGCATAGCTAATGTAAGATAAACTGATTTTAAATTTTCAACACATGATTTTATACCTATTATTTTAAAGACAATACAAACACATACAGAGAAAGAAATCTGATTATGTAACATATGAAAGTAACCTTTGAAAGCATATGCTTATTGTAGTTTAATATCATATGAGCTTTGTGGATATTATAGTAATTTCAATGGTTAAGATCATGAGTCAGTCGAAGCTAGACCACCATGGAAAACCTGAAAGCACTGGACGGTCGTTTCGTCCTATTGTGGGACTCCTCAGCAGTCTACCTGTAGTTAATCTGGGCATTACTGTGCTCATATAATGTTAAAGTTCTGGATGTATTTGAATTTAAGAGATCTCTATTTCATCGGTAAATTAGTTATTTAATAACACTTTTTATTATAAATGTTATACAAGTTCAGAAAATTTGGTTGGTTATATCAAATAGCATGTTTGTTTCCCAAACAGAAGGTGAGTATTCGATACAGCGATTTACTGTTATACTTTTTCGTTCAAAACATGTTGGATGAAAGTAGGAAACACAGATAGGCTGTGGGTACTTGATCATGAGTGTTTTCCAATGATTGCTCACCAATTGCAGAATGATTAAGTGAGCAATTCTGAGGTTCGACATAGAATGCTAGCAAAGATGGAGGCTGTGAATCTTCACAAACTGGGGTGGCTAAAGCATGTGTTATGTATGTACAACCGTTACCCAACTTAAGATACAATGCTGGCCAATATATGTGCAGGCTCAAATAAAACTAAAGCGGGATGTTAAACTAAGACTTAGGGTCAGCCGATGAATCCATATATTTGAGCAATGTACATAGGTGAAGATTACCGGGTTGTGGTCAGCGTCTTTATACACTCAGTGATGTAGCTTAGAATAGATTATGAGTGGTATGATAACTTCACTCTTTATCTTGCCCTATATCTTGAGGTCCAGAATTCTTTCACACACTTTTTAATCCTGTCACTTCGAAACATACTGTCAAAATACAATTTTTTCTATTACAATTGCTATTATATTATTTTGACTAGTTTGCTAATCTCACCTCATCGACCTGACGTGATTTCTACAGTGTTTATTTAATAACCACAGAATAGAAACAATTTTGTCAAAAAATTCACGGACTGATCCTACTCTCTTCGTTTGGTTTGATTGCCCTAGGCTTTCTTCCAACCTACTCCTACACAAGTCATTATCGTTTGTCGAGGTAGACAGTAGATGGGCATTCATAATACACTAATTCGATCAACATATATTACCTTGTCGATTGATTTGCCGTAACTTACCTCATACTCCACGTCTAACATTAAAATTGCTAAATCAGTGGTCTTAAAATATACAGGCAATGGTTTCGAGATACCTATAATCAAATAGTAGTAACCTACAAATATTCTTTACTTTTAAAGACCATATTTTACAATCATAAAGTAGAAGAGAGCGAACTAGTAAGCAAAAAACTCGTCTTTTAGTTAGAAAAGTCAACTGATTTTTCTGGATTCATGTTGAGATTTTGTCAGGCACCAACCCATCAGAACTGGTAAAGTATCTTATATTAAAATAAAAATCTACATTCCTAACACATACACACACATGATTCAATCGATTTTTTGAAATGGGCTTTAGTAGCTAAGTTTACATAGTCACCTTTGAACGGAAGATTTTGTGTATACCAACTGATGATAATACTAATCGTCTGCAGTAAATAAAACAGGGTTCAACTGTGTATCATATTAATCGTAAGTCTGGTGTTTCAACAGCTACACCATTACCGACATAAACAATGAAACAGGTTGAGGAAAAACATTACAATATTATATCCGGACGAAGAATAATTGAATAGCCACCGTTAGGATCTACCTATGGACTACTATTATATATATTCTCATTGTATAACCATTAAGTAACTGTGTTATGTGTACATTCATATCCTTCTTATTATAAGCTTCCATTTGACCTATTAACTACTATTATACGATTTACTATTTTTAAGTTACTCCCAATTTATTAATTACAGTCTATCACACAACTACTTGTGACTTGATCTTGTATAATTGTTATTTCCTATTATATGATATGATGAGATGTGATTTGCTTGTATCGAAACTGCGTACATCTGAAATACATGATTGATATAACGTAGGCTGATATTGGTGTTCTGAACTGAACCGGGTGGGTTAAGCGAGAAGCTACTATTTCAGAGGACCAATCAAACCCAGAGTTGATTCTAAGTTGCTTGTACCAGTCTATGCGTCATTGGTGTGGCCAAGAAGTCGGTTTTCTAATTGGTGATTTAATCATGTGATAATTAACAGGTCATAAAAGAAAATTGTTTTTTCTGTTAATACCAAAAATTTGTCAACAACTATCATTATTAAAGAACTAATTCTCTGTACACCTGTAATCCCGATGATTGTCAGCACTAGTATTACGCATGAAAGAAGTCGGAGACAGAAGATGGAGGTCGGTAATAAAAACAGAAATAATGTAAAGTGAAGAAGGGATTTGAATTAGAACGTAGTGATCTCAAAGGCTGTTAGAGCATTCCGAAGGAAGTATCCTTCTTCTTAAGGGAACTGGGCTAGGAGTGACACTGATGACCTGGGATCATTATTCAAAGGCCTAAGAGATAACTGTTCCAGGTCGTCTACAAGTAACGTTTTGTGAAGCTTTTAGTGTTAACACTGCATCTGGCAATCGGAACTCGAAAAGGTGAGGTGTATTATATTCAGGGTGGAACATTTCTAATTTTCCACTTCGTTGTGCGAAAGCATAATTGTTGTAGATGCTTGTTGCTTGAAGGAAATATTTTATTGTTATCACACTCCAGAACAACTTCAAGTGGTTGCTGGAAAGTGTTCCCGAGATGATGTTCAAGCTGGGCCACATTGTTGAGGTAACAGATACAACCACAAGTGATTCATATTAGAAAGAAATTCATGAGTCAATGATTATTGCTATCATTGATAACTTACCCGTAAGACCCCATATATTATAACTGCTAAAATAACGTGTTAATTTCTCTTTATCCAAAGGAGATAGTTTAGCCAATGAAGTCATACTATCAGTTACGGTTGGTTTGATTTGATAATGTTTGCTAACCCAATTAATAATAGGATCCCATGAAAGAGATTGCACTTTAACTAAATCATCTGGTTCTTGACATCTGAAACTAAGGATTTTTATTTGAAGAACAAAACAAAGCAGTTAACTAGTTACATTTTATTAAGTAATGAATACACTTGTGCAACAGTGAAATTCGTATAGGAAATAATCAAAACTTTTTCTTAGGTATGGAGAATAAAACTGAGGATACTCGTTATTACATAATATGTAACAACTACTTCATCTTAGACCTTTCGATATGTGATATGCATTCATAACCCCTAACTCACTATCATCAAAGGTTGTGCCGTTAAGACATTAAAAATACTGTCCAGTTGTTTCCGATTTCTAACAGTTTATTAAGCTAACATTAGTTTGTGATGAAAAAAATCATCTACATGTGGAATTAACATCAATGAAATGTCTAGTCAAATAAAATTAGGTATAGGGTTGAGTAGATTGTTGGATTTTGAGGTTTTACATTAAGAACTAACAACCATTAAGAGGAAGGGAGGACTGGACAGATACTTTATCATAGTAAAAAAGTTTAACAATGAGCACTCAAGACCCCACTATAAATCAAACCCAGGAGCTTCAGATCTCACAATGAGCACTAAAAATTCAAAACACTGAGTTAGCATCCAATTAGTTGGCATCTCCATTTGATTCGAGATATCAGATCATTATTTATTTTCATTGGTGATATTTGTCATCGTCATTATTCAACGATATTTGAGGCTCGAAGAGATGATTAAAGATTTGAGGGGGATAAAAAAAGACAGTTCCACTGCTTCATGACAATAGTTAAATAGATGAGGAGCAACTGTATGACATAAGATGGACGAAACAACAACTTCCCAGTAAAAAAGATTGCATACTGGTTTAAGGATAGGTTCAAAACAGATGGCACTTGAATGACTTCAGGGAAAAGTATTCAATATTCTTTATGCTTGAGTTTTGAAGTATGAAAAATACTATTAGGAGACGACTGCACAGATCTTTGACTAATTCATAAGGCGTTGAATACAGTAGGGAGATGCAAACCAATGGTAACTGGTGGCTAGAATCGGTAACTATGCCGTTCATTACCCCAGGATCCTGGATCCTAAGTACCATATTGGTTTGTATTCTGTGTTTTACAACCTTGTTAGATGAACCATCCGTATTTACCAATCTAGTTTAAGTGCACATGGGCTCCAGTATCCTGCGGGAACAAATGGCGTATGAACCAACTTTTGGTCACCGGCTTCCATGGGACTGCATCTCCTCACGATGCTCCACTGCCTTGTGGACTAGACCTTTAGGTCAAAGGCTCGGGGTGTGGCCCCCTAAGAAAACCACCTGCTTCGGTTTGGGCGCCCGGGCAGTATCTCAGCCCACACACCAAAACTATGATGAACTATCTGCAAGACGTCTGCTTTTTGTCCTTATTTTTGTGGAGAAAATTTGTCACATAAAGGCAGTATGCGGAAATTATTAGACATGCAGTCAATGAGTTGTTGTACGAAAGCATTTTGATGAAAGAAGTACGTTCTCATACCATTGCATTTAGGGACAACTTCATAAGTACATTTTGTGAGAGGGGATATTCCTATTGATTTCTATAAGAACTGAGCATAATCCAGGTTAGTTTTAAACTGAACAGAACAGCTCAATCATGTTAGCAAACCACGCAGGTACCAAGAACACTAGTGGACTTAATTTTTGAAAAAAATCATTAGGTATATTTATCATATTAGCACATAGATATTATATATAATTAAAGAAACTACATATTTACCAGATTGTATCAGTATCAGCATACTGCATGATATTACTGACTAGGATATCATGTTGATCAGCTGGAGTATCCAAAGCTCGATTGCACAATGTTGTCTACATATCATTCATGTTAAATAGAGAACAGATATTTTGCAGAAAAAAAACTATTAGTTTACGTGATAATATAATCAGTGATAAAAAGGTTTCAAAGCTGTATCAACAGATCATTTAGTTAGTATCAATGTAACATACTTCATAAGTAAACAAGTACATTCTCTAACATACTATAAACAACTGTTACTATAAAGACAGTAATCGAGTTGTTAAATATTAGTATTCAACTCATTGAAATAACTAAATTTGTTGTATGTTTATGAAAGTTGAAACCTATGAGCTGAAAATACTCAGCGATCCTACGTGTTCGACCACCGATGTCTCCGACGGTGTATTCACACTCTGTCTTCCTTTAAACTAAGAGATTAAAATCACTTCAAATCTTTCTTTCTAGGAACTAATTCTATCTTCCTGTACTATCTCCTTATACACACTCTTTCTTCTATATATTACCACCACTGAATTAACTACTTCTATGAATCCGGTGTTCATCTTGTTGTGCTAATGCGGTATGGCAACTTGGACCGATGCATATACGTGCCTAGTCCTACGTTGCAGCTGACTGACTGATGTCTCCGACAAAAATTCTTGTACACGCTATTTACAAAATGTAGTCTTAAAAAGTACGTTTAACTATCAGCCAAGTTGGAATGGATTTGGTTTACATGTATATTTTAATAAGCTCCCAAAATAGAGGATATGTTGGATTAAACTAGTTGATCAACCATAAATCCCTGGATGAAATACTAGTTATCATCCAACTGAGTAGTTTGAAATTATTTTTAGACATGCTGGAGATTAGTAGACATTGACGACTCTTTAATGGGTTTTTCTTGCGTTCCTCACATAAATCCAAACAAATAAATATCATATTATTCATATTCCTACTCAAACTGTATCGTAAAGATAAATTTCTATCTTTTGTTGCTTTACGATATTATCATTTCACTTTGCGTGACGGTTTTCTTGACGAGCAGTCAGTCAGACAGTCATCAACGTACATCAGTTCAAGTTGTCATACCACATTATCTCACAGATACAATAGTCCATTCAAATCCCATAGTGGTAGAGGTAGTATAAGTATAAGCAGTAACCGGAAAAATTAAGGTTTGAAGATGTTATTCAAGGAGTATAGTCCACTGAAATAAATTTAGAGAGTGAAAAGAAGAAACATGAAGAATTCAGAATATTAGAAATTGGGAGGACACAAAAAGTGGATGCACCTTCGCCACTGCAAATGATTTTGAGCCACGTCATTCAAGGTCTCTAACGATCGATTTCTATCGTCTCGCGGATCCCAACCCGGTAGTACGTGTAGACCTACCAACATGGCTCAGTCCACTTGTCAGTGACTTCATGGATTTTTCTTGACAAGTGATAACACCAAGCTTTCATCTGTGCAATGATAAAAATAATAACCATTATTATTAGGCATAATAACACCATTAACATTGTATTAAAAGGCTTACTAAAGGCATAGCATATCGTTTTATAGTGTCAACCTGACTATCCCATTCATGTGCAACAGCGACAGCTAATGCTTGATTCGGTACGTGAAAATGAATTCCAGTTGGAGTTCGAAGTTTACGTTGATCGAGAAGAATTTGAAAAACTGGATGTTTATAATCTAAACAGCAGGGAATAACGATAAGTTAGACAAGCGGAAATCAATAAAATTGTAGTGCATTCAATGAATAGGAAATACTACAAACGAGAACATTCATATTAAATATGGAAGTGCAAAATAAATTTAAAAAGTCAAGATTTAAGTTAGGTAGGTATTTTGAGTTTATTAAAACTGTGAAGATGTGATATGATGGACTAATTCACTTTTGATTGACAGATCACGTACTGACTAGAAATGCTCTCACATGGCCATGCGTATATAGCCTCTGCCAGGGAAGTCCTACTCACTGCATTCTCGTGGTGGGGGTGTTGTTTACAAAAATGAGAGGACGAAAAGCGAATGTCCGGCGCTTTAACCGAACCCCAAACTAATGGTGCACATGGGCTCCAGTATCCTGATGGAACAAATGGCGTATGAACCAATCGTTGGTCACCGGCTACCATGGGACTGCATCTCCTCACGATGCTCCACTGCCTTGTGGGTCAGACGTTCAGGTCAAAGGCTCGGGGTGTGGCCCCCTAAGAAAACCACCTGCTTCGGTTTGAGCACCTGGGCAGTATCACAGCCCTCACACAAATCAATTGAGATTCGTGTGGCGCATATGTATTTGGTGCCTCCCTGTACCTATACTTATGTGTTAAAATAAATAAATAATAAATGACTAGAAACTAGAGTATGATGATTATATTGTTCTGAGAGGAAAATTCGCCCCCCAAAATGAGTACTGATGAGGTTACAGATTGAGCAGTAATCAAAGCTGGTAAATCAGTTGGCGGGCTTCGAAATATTGATCAACTGAGTTAGCTAGTCCCCGCTTTATGCATGGCTAGCCATTGCTTAATGTGATGACGACGGTATGGGGGTAAGGATATGCTGAAAGAAAGTTACAGGAGGCCAAACTTAGGCATGATATTAGTCTATTCGATTACTGCCTTTTGATTTGAGTCTTGTTAATAGGTGAAAGCCACTTGGTCCGGGTATATGAAACGCTCGTGATTATCGATTGAAGATCTGAGGTAAAATTTCTCATAATCTGAGAAAGTAGCGCAAACAATTCACTCTATCTTTTATTATCATATTATACTTTCGCCCATAAATTCATTGCTTTTCAAAATGTAATATCTATGTTCAGTATTTTATTACTGATGCTACTGCCACCCATTCATTTTACTATTGATTTTGTTAATATCACCTTGTTATCCTGATATTTTTCCGTAACTTAGGCCAACGAATATTTGTGATTTGTTCTGCGCTGATTGCAAATAACTAACTAGTCGGGAAAATCAATGCAAAAACACTGATGAAAATCAACAACACGTAGGACTCGTTAGTAAAATGAATGGATTTTTGAACTTACTTTCATGAGTTGACTGAAATACAGTCACGTTCTTATAAAACTTCTTAGTCTGAGCTATATAGAAATATTATGCACATTTCAATGTACCAGAAAACAGACTTCTACGAGGACCGCGGAAACAATGTAAAGACGTCGAAGAAATGAATTTTTTGTTAAACATTTAAACGAATCGAATGATAACTGGTGTTCACTGATATCAGTTTATTAATTCTTATCGGATAGTTGAAGGTTATAGTGGTTTTTTGTACGCTGAATTTGTCTGAAACATTAAAAGGTAGCAAAGAAGTGTCACATTTACAATTTACGTGTATGAAAATACACCGACGGTAAGAAAAAAGTATTTCGTAGCTGATTGTATCAACTACCAAATATCCCCAAATACCCTGGTATGATCAAGGATAGGAGAGTTAGTTCTCCCTCTCCAAATGGCCACGCGTACAGAGCCACTGCCAGGGAAGTCCTACCTACCGCCTTTTTGCACCAGAGGTGTTGTTTACGAAATTGAGAGGACGAAAAGCGAGTGCACGGTGCTTTAACCGGTTTGTTGGATACGAAGGGTTTACCTAGAGGAGTTGGGAAACCCTGATTCCAAACCATTGGTGCACATGTGATCCAGAATCCTCAGGGAACAAACGGTGTATGAACCAATTATTGGTCACTGGCCACCATGGGACTGCAAATTTTGACGTTGCTCCACTGCCTTGTGGATTAGACTTTGGGGTCGAAGGCTTGGAGTGTGGCCCCTTGAGAAAACCTTCTGCTTCGCTCTGGGCACCTGGGAAGTATAACAGCCCATAATCAAATCAAGTGACTTGTGCAGCGCGTATGTATTCGGTGCCCTTTGGTACCAATATTTGTGTTCAAATAAATAAATAAAATGTATATACTACAGTTCTAGCTTATTCCGTTACTCAATGGAATACTGAGTTTTAAGGCGCTAACTATTGTACAGTTCTAAAATGTTTAAACTCCCAACTTGATTATTTTTACATTCACAACTGAGATTTAAGTGGCTTCTATGCCGCAAACCACTTTCCGATGCTAAGACTCATTGAAATATACGGAGATGCGATAAATTTATGACTGATTGTAAGTGAATTAAGGATGATAACATCTGTCGGGTCTTTATGGCTCCATGGATGAAAATTTAGGGACCATGAAACTTACCTTTTTTACGACTATTGAGGAGACAGTTGACAACAAAAGCCAGTAGCAGAGTTGGTGCATTTTAATATTGGTGTCATTATTAAAATTAAAAAAGCATGTTACTGAATGAAAATCTTCGCGATAATGTTACAACAAAAACTATGTTGTCCCGAAAATACTGCTCCTAACTTTAGTTATTTTTTATTTACCTATCCTCTAGTACTTTCTTAAGGTTAACTTTTTGTCTCGTGATTTTCATTTACTAATACTATGTGGTACCGAGGGATTTTTAAAAAGCATAAAATAAAATTTTCTACAGACTTATCCAATCAAATGATCACGTAAATAAATTGTTGATCATAAGCAATCTAATCTATCTACTACATATTTAAAAGGCTAAAATAATACTTAGTTAAAACTGAAAAACTAATATAATCGTAGGTTAGTTATTAACAGGATCTTGTTGTTGAAATTACTGACACAATGCTTTTTCACTAGGTAAGTTTAGAATTCAAAGAAAGCATCTGAAACGCAAGACAATCCAAAAGATACGTTCCTTTGAAAGAACTAAACAAACTTTAGGGGGCTTGGACGGTTATAGTCGGAATAGAAGCTTTCATATCCAGTAAAATGGGTCATCGACCCCTCTACTTAGCAACATTTAACAAATGGATTTACTTAACACGAACAATCGAAACGGTTAAATGACCAAGGGATTACATTCAGTATATCCCAAAACCGTGTAACTGTTTAAGATCTTCCACTTGACTTTACAATAGAATGAAGAGTGGTAGTTTACAGGGAAATTAACAACTGGTTAAATCTTTGCAACACAATAAGTCAGAGAATTCAAATTTGTAAACCGGTTAGGCGATAAGTGGTATTGGAACTGAACAACCCTACGTTATTTTTCACCACAAAATATCCAAAATATAACCTATTATTTAAGGGACAAGTGTAACCAGGTGTAATATCTGGCGCAAAAATTTAGATATTTGTTTGTGGTCCTTATACGGAAGTAGACCCATGCAATGAAAGTGGTTCATACATGCCCAGTTAGTTTTTAGTATCATAAAGGGTCATTTAAGATACTCTCTACCAACATTGTCTCCAGTAGCGGAGTACAAACCCAGAGCATCGGACGAAGAACCCATCAAACGCCGTTAAGGTCCAGTAGCGCACCACGTTAAATAGGTCAGGTTCCAGTCCAACCTTGCCACTAAAATTCAGTAACAATATGATAGGTTGAAACAATGTGATATTTAGTACAAATATGTTGAATAAACATAGTTGTACATTCATTCTTTAGAACTATGTCTAACCAGGCATGTGACTGACAAACAAATTGATTCAATGTTTTCGGTTAACTTGTCCATATTTGTGTCACTAATTCGAATGACTTCCGATACCCAATATCTAAAAGCTTTGTCACGAGCTTTTATAAACCAGTTGATTTTTTACTCCCGTTTCTTGTTTTCGGTACGGCTTCAGGTATATGGTTAAGTTCTGTGTTGTATTCTAACCACTCGTTCGCAGTAAAGATGCCACAAGTATTCCGAGTTCGATAGCGTTTGAACCAATAACAAATTTTATGATCGTAATATGCCAACTCAGTCAAATTAGAAGACAGAAACGATTGGGTTTAAAGACATATTCGGTAGGCTATCGGTATATCGAGAAGCGAACAATGTGAACTGGCTAGCAGTTGTCGGAGATGTGAAGCATGGCGTACTCATTTGTGACCAGGTGTGTGTCCAGGGGGACTAATGCGACCAGAATCATATATCAAATACTTACAGAGCTGCTGGTTTAGGGATTTTATTCACCACTACAGCAATGTGGCAGTTGGTTGTGATTAAGTATATCTTATATTTGGGTGCGTGTGCTCATTTCACTGTCTTTTCTGGACACCAAAAGCTGTTACATTACCAGACCTTACATTTGAATCAAACTGATACTTCTTAATTCGATCGTTTTTCTGTCTTTATATCTGTTGAACGTATTCTACTATCATATTGATCTTTATGTACTTGATACACACTAACTAATTGATACTCTGGACAGTTTATATTCATTTTGATGCAACACAGATCAGACCAGTCTAATTCACTTTGGATTTATTTCACTGCCATGCAATTTCTGGAAATTCTCCCACCAATGTTTTTTCTATTCTAGTATATTTACTGGTGATTCTAGGTGCCATTGTCGATATAAATCTAGTCCTGTTACAAAAAGATCTAAGTCCCATATTAATCTAATACGATTATGATACAAGTTCAATTTTGTCCATAAAATTCGACGATAATTCAGTTGTTTACTACAACCGTATATGTTATCGAAAGTAATCGCCGAAATATATATTCAAGAACGTTTGTATTCTAGTTCTTGCTTAATTCGTTTGTCCTCGGTGATCGATCAATGACATAATTAGTATAACAAGTATACCGGTTGATCACTTGCATCTCGCCTCTTGGCAACAAGTGACACCTGATATTTTAGCCGTTCTCCGTGATTTTTATCTAACCGCTTACGTAAGTAGTTCTTCTAGGCCGATGTACACGGCTTTCAAGCTCAGTCCAAACACACATCTCAGGCTGAAGTGGTTGAAGAATATTCTAAGGTATCCATTAGGTGGAAATTCGATAAACTATTAAAGACATGAGACAGTATTTCATAATAACTCACTAGCACTCCTCTTTAAATCATTTAATACACCTAGGTCCTCGCTTGTAAACAGGAATTTTTCATTGTGCTGATTCCTCGTTGGTCAAATAACCAACAGACTGACTTTTTAATCCAATTACCATTTCTTTTCTTGTTCACCTATCCTTTTCCATTCATTAATATCTTTGGCGAATGATTTGTGCTTGCATCATGCCTTTTGGGAGATCTTCCAATTTTTCAGCAATGCCTAATCTTTTGTTCGGGTGGGATTACATTACGTAAATGGCAGTCCAGAATTTTAGCCGCTGGCTGATCTTACCAAATGTCTGTGAATCGTCATTAATATCTGCTCAAAGACTAGGCTAAATCACATGAATACGTATTAGTACTTGAAATTTTAATTATTTTACTTCCAAAATACCGGGATTTAATGAATATATGGCTTCAGTTAATGTCAAATAACACACAAAAGATAAAAGAAGATGGTTTTATAGGTATTAAATGAAATGTTGTGTTTGGAATAATGCATATGCGAGCAAAGTGTAGTGCGAAACTTTCTTCTTTGTTACTGTATGAGGGAGGATAAAAATAAAATCGTCGTCATGCGATTAAGAGCAAATTTGCAAGGACATTAAAATAACAAGCATGTATTTATGGTGTGACCGTCCGTGCAATAAAACAGTCATCGTATAAATTATTTGGAAGAGCAAAAATGTGATAATTCGTCTATTATTTATGTGTATTTTAGCCGATAAAACCAGGGAGGAATAAGATGAAAATCATCTTGTGGTTCTGGTTCAATGAAAGGAAGAATATGTGGGTAAGAAAACGTTCTAGCGAACCACAGTCGAGTAACTAATATCGATTAATTGTTTTGCATTTACATAGTATGGAGTTTCTGTATGTAGAATAGGGATAACCAATCTATAGTATGATAACTGCATTGGTGGATGATATTCTTTATTGTGCTGTAGCTGGTAGTAATTATGAATTGCGAAGTTGGTACATGTTGTCATTGGTATTATGACCAGATTCATCGAGCTATCGTTAAATGTGGTTTGCCCCAAATTTCAGAGTGACAATTCATGAGCAGGATTTTTGTTCTACGAGCAGATAGTTAACACGTTGATATTATCTTAAGTGTGATAACCACATATCCAAAAATGAACGATATTGACTAAGTAGCCTCATAGATCCATTGCTGTGGTAGATGATTTAGTACAATGCTTTGGTAGAATTAAAGTGATCCATAAACATAAAATAAGGTGAAATCGAAGTGAAGAACGTAAATGATAAGAAAACAGAAAAATGGTCCCAGGTACGTGAATAAGAATGTAATAATCAGCCAAAATGACATGGAAAAAACTGGCTAAATGCAGGAAAATTTTACGCAGTCGAATGATAAAAAGTCCTCGTTAGCTGTGAATGTCATGATGTGAATGTACTGTTCACAATATTATAATTCGATGAGCGAGCAATGTAGTTGCGTAAATTTCGTGATTTAGTGTTAATATGAATGATAATATTTATTCCAAATCAACAGTGCGACTATGACAAAGACAAAAAAATAATAGCCGGATAATTTGCACAGTAGATGAATGGGAAGAGACGATACTCAGACAAAGAACCGAAAACATAATACGATTAGTATTTCTGTTTGTGTCCTTTGAATTGGCTTCGCTTTTTGAGTCAGATTCAAGAGATTTATCCGTCAGCGTTGCTCGTCGACTGAGTTAGCTATGTTGAGTTTGAAAGATTCTTCATCGTCGTAGCTTGCAGGTTGCGTTAATTTGTAAGAAACGGTTACCATTTTAGTGGCCCATAGATCTGATTCTGATTAAATCGCACGATTATGTCAGGGAAAACTACGTCCATTTTACCCTCGTATAAAATTATCCACTAAACGTGCATTAGATAGTAGCGGAATAAAATAATTTAAATGAGAGAATAATTTTTTAAAACACATACTTCATACGCTCGTTGCCACAGAGAAACTAAGAAAAGGAAAATAGAGAAGCTGACCAGAGAGGATGAACATTCCAACTCACTATAATGCTAATTACAAGCGTTAATATAGCTGAATACTGAGTAGTGTGGCAAAGAGACATATTCTGAACGAAATAACGAGTGACAGACAACCATACGCAAATGTGCATAAGGTGTGTGATATAAAAACACAAACATAAATATAAGATATTTGTATGTGCTGAAGTTCACAATTTCCCATGGAATGTATAGTTACTATGGTGGTAGAAGTAACTCGATATCACATGCTATTTGAGTTAGTGAATTTTTTTAAAAGCTAGGACGAATTATGTGAGTACTAAATACTACATATATCTCTGAAACTTAACCTTGCAGATTACCAAGGGGATGACATACTTTCCGTATATTTATTTTTAACTACAGTCCTGGAAATATGTCCAATTAACAAGCAGTCTTAGTATACAAACAAAATGCAATAGATCTTTCAACATCACATATGAGCCAACATTAGAGAGCCGAGACCAGAGAACAGAAGATAATGATTTCGCAAGGCCGATTTCAAATGAAAATATCGAAGTAAAGTGGCTTGAGATGACGACATAAAATTACTTACCGATTATCACGAGGGAGATGAAATGTTATTAAAAACCAATACTCTCGACCAAATTTCTCAATGTCAAACATAACAAATCCAGTGAGTGAATTTACTTTAATGATCAAAATTTTCATCAATGTGGAAAAGAATTTTTGTCGGTGGTGACATATGCTGCAGATGGAACTTTTCATCAGTTGTCCAGTAATTGGTTGTTCATATTGCTGTTCAAATCGAAGATGATGCAATTAACCTTTGATGGATTTCCTGTGACACAGTTTTCGAATGTTTTGGCAGTAATTACTAATTCCAATCACTTACGCCAAGTGGTGACTGCAAGGCAATAAATATTGCGTTCATTGCCCTCTTCTAACTACTTGAAGATGCCACAGGTATTCGGAGTTTGACAACGCTTTAACCAGTAACACCTTCTAATACGAAGCGCACCCACCAAGTAAAATCAAAAGACAGAAGTGAGGAGATCGAAGATATATTTGATAAGCTATCAATATATCGAGGATCGTTTGCACTAATCTGGCTAGCGATTGCGGCAGATGTTGAGCACGGCGTTCCCACACGTGATCTGGTGCGGATGCTTGACCGAGCGCCTTCAGCTAGATGAGTCCACTAAAACTGTGGTCAGCATCCAATGTCGAAAACTTACAGAGCTATTTGATTTTGGGGAATTATTTACCGCTACAGATCACTCCCCCCCTAGTGGCGTAGTGATGACCCTAAGACGTGGCCAGCAAGAAGTTTAAACCCAACGAGTTTTTCGTTGGTAAACACTCTTCTGATAGCTTGCTAGGTTTAGCAGCGTCTGGTCGTCTTTCCTTACTATAATGGACCATGATGTACAATATAGTAAAAAATGGTACAATGCAGATTTTCGTTTCTCGCAAATTCATCGTTCTTTTCATCGTCTTTTCCAGTCGTCCTGGAAAAGAAAAGAAAAATATGTACGTGAATGTCGAAATAC